TCTGTAATAATTTTTTTTGCAGGAAACAGTAGTGCAACTATGATCCTGGTCCTACAGATTTGAACAAACCCCGAAAAACAGTCCCAACCATCCAGGAAAGGTGTTGGGCAACCATTTCACATGCTGTTTGCAAATGTAGATGTCAGCAAGAGAGTGCTTAAATCCTGCATGGAGCAGAGTGGAAACAGGTCGAGCCTCTCCTGCCTCTGCTCTTTTACTCAGAGTAAATCACTCACCTTTGTGCTAGGCAGCAAACTCTGTTTGCTGTGTCACAGGTGACACAGTCCTTAATGCTGTCCCTTCGTAATTTGCAAGCAAAATAATGCCTGACTGTTCTTTGCACACTTGCAGACAGCAGTCATTAATGCCGCCTTGGAAAGGAGGGGAAAAGAGTGTTTTCATGCTAATATTTTCTTAAAATGTGGCACAAATCCACCACCACCAAACAATGTAGGGAAATTATAATAACACATGCCTCAAATGTCTTGGTTAGGCGACAGTTTGACTAAGGCCAGGAAGTATTTCTTAGAATCTACTTTGTCTACCTGAGAAAAGAAAAACGAAACAACTTTATACATCTCCAAACTCTAAACTCCAGCTGGAGGACTTTCCTTATTGCCCATCCTTTTTAATTATCTGATGTGTTTTCCCCTGCTAGGGGTTGAGCACAGCACCCAGACTGCACACATTGCTCCTCGGCTGGGGAGCTGCAAATGGCATCTCCTCTTATATATCATTTATCCAGCACATGCTTGAGACTTGATGATGTTTGGGCAGTTCACATGGAGCCCACGAAGTGTGGGTGCTTCTGCATTGCGCCCCAGGCTCAGGGTGACAGTGTCCAACAGCCAGCCAGTACAGGATTATTTTAGGCAGTGCTCAGTCATCAGCGATGTCCTTTGGGTGTTTAGTACATTCAGTTTCCTTCCATCCACTCAATTTGTTTGGCAGAGGGATCTATCTAAAGCAACACTGCACTCTGGGAAAACACAGTATTGGGAGCTAATTGATTGCTTTATAATTCTGAGCATAGAAACTTTTTATTTTAGTGTGGGAAAGAGCTGTTGGTATATCCCTATCTCAGGTGGAAAGGTCATAAGCAGGAGCTGTAAGACTGTTGCATTCCAGGATGAAATGCCGCTTGCTAATATTTTTATAAGCCTGTGCTGAGTCCAGCATTAGGCTTTTGGAGAAAAATAGGTGGGGAAAACACAAATGTCCCTGGTCAGACACAAATCCAGAGCTTGCGCATCCTGAGATGGGGGTACAGAGGTGAGGGTGAAGGTCAGGAAAGCAACCACTTTTCTGAGGGCTTTGCTGCACTCAACCACTACCTAGAAAGCAGGCTGGGGCATGGGGCAGCAGTGAATTCCTGGCATTTGGCTCAGCCAGGTTCAGGGTGGCTCACAGGGGATCCTGGGCACTCCTGCTGAACCCTGTTTTGGGGAACACTGCATCTGAGTTGGCTCACATTGGTTCAGCCAGCTCCATTATGGCTCCAGGCACCTGAAAACATCCCCTGTGCTGTCCTGGAGAGCCCAGCTGCTGCCTGCCTGTCAGCCACTTTTGCACCTCCTCAGTAAATAATTTGTGATCTGTAGGATATGAGCACAGTGCAGCTGCTTGTGCAGCAATAGTGCCAGACCAGAAACACAGCCCTCTTACAGGGCCTGCCATAATGAAACCCCTCCCAGATACCAAGGCACCAAAACCACCAGTTTGCAATCCTCAAAGTGTAACAATATAAGTTAGCTCAGAGGAGTACTAAACTCTCAGTGAGTCAGTAGCTAAGTGGAATAGAGCCCTGAGCCCAAAACATGAAATGTTTTAAACCAGACACTGCAGTGTAAAACAGAACACAGAATAAAGTAGTGCAACAACAATTTACCCTGGACCAGGATTGCCATGCTTGGTAAAGCCTGCCAGAAAAAGGGATTAAAAACCACAAGACAGTCCAAAATTCCAGTGATGAGTGAGTGTTTACCAAAGGCTATATGCCACTTTGGTACATGAGGTGTCCCTTGCTCACCTGCAATGGGACAAGTTAATTGACACCTGAACCAAAATGAAAGCAAATGAAAACTTGTATTCTCTTCTTTGAAAGGGATGAGCATTCCTGCCTTTAAAAAAAAAAAATATATATATATATATAACACTTAAGGTTTTCCTTTCACAGCAAAATAAACTCTCTTGTTTGTCACTGCAGTCTGGGACTATTTTTAACACTACTAATGAGTGACTAAAGTGGGGTGGAGCACCTAAGCCAGCTTGCTGCTCCCAGCCACCCACAAGGTTTATCTGACCATCAGAGGAGGACCCGGACTAGAGTCAGCTGGTGAAGAGTCAGGGCAAGGTGCCTGCTAAGTGTCTGTGTCCTGGGACACACATGGCAGAAAAAATGCACACCACTTTCTGCAATTGAGTAAAAAAAGGCCCAGACTCCACACAGAGCAGGCATGTCCAGTGCTCAACATAAATCTCTGAGACTAATGCATCTCAGAGCTGCATTAATCTTTGACCAGAGCTCATAAAGCATGTAGTTAGCAATTCTTCTGCCCATCAGAAAAAGACGGAAGAAAAAGCCATCTGCACAAACAAGTTATTCCTGGACTAGAGGACACCCAATTTTAAAGGCAAGTAGTGGTTTCTCACAGGGTCAATAAATTAATAGAAAATCATAAAATCATTACGGTGGGAAACACTTCCCAGATCGTCAGATCCAACCATTAACCTAACATCACTATGTTCACCATTAAACCACATCCCGAAGAGCCACATCCACACACTTTTTGAACACTTCCAAGGATGATAGCAGGGATGCCTATCTCTCAGAATGGTTCATTAACATTCAGAGAATCAGGAGCTGTTGAAAGGGGAACATCCAGCACCTCCAGGATTGCTGCATTCAGAGGAGAGACCAAAAATAACTGTGGGAAGTACCAGATGGCAGCTGCTGGATGCAGCGTCCTGGCTGCCAAGTCCTTGCCAGCAAGGAGAGTGTGCACTGAAAGGAATGAGGACAGTCGCTGGAGCATGACTGCAGCAGGGCAGTAAAGGAACACAGCAACAGCCTGGGCTGGAGAGCAAGAAACACTTCACTCCAGACAAACAATATTCTAGAGGACATATATGTGTATCTATATTGTTTTAATACATGCATAAAGAAAAGCCTACCTGGTGTAGAAAACTGCTGTGAAATGTTCAAAACTCTATTACATTCAATCATTAAAGGCAAATTGTAGCAATGGGTTAACTATGTTTATTGCAGAAGAGCAGTGAGATGCCATAAACCCAAGCATACTCAGGTGTATGGTGCTGTGGGGGTATAAGACAAAATGCCAGAGAAGCAGCACCTCTGTGCCTCAGTCCTCTATTCCATTCTCATTCCTCTACAATCCAGGGAAGAGAGTAAGCACCTGTTTACCTGGTGTGGAGCCTGCACTGGCAAGGGATCCGGGGACCTTTGGGCTACTTGGACACTTGTTCCCTTTCCCCAGGTCTGCCAGACAGATGGACAATGAGGATACAAACCTGCAGCAATGGCTCACAGCATGACCCTGTCAAGGTAGAGCCACTGCTGCCTCATGTTCTTGCAACAAGGGACATCCATTTAAAAACAAGGTGTTTTTCCCCCCACACGTGGCTGATTCACCAGAACGAAGGGCTTTATAAGTCGTCTTAAATATTCCCAGCTATAAAACAAATTGCTCAGGGAAGCACTACATTTAAGAGCATTTAAATAGACTATCTTCTCAGACCTTGCAGAGGAATTATATAAGCATTTTCCTTTGGAAGGGATGGAAGGGAGGAAGAGGGAGGAAAACATATTTCAATATTTCGAAGCAATATAATCATAATTCACTAGAATTATAGCCCATGTCAGTAAAACAGGTGTACAGAATGCAGGTTGGAAATCCTTGCTTTGGCCCATAGAGAAGTCAGATTATATTACCATGTAGAGTTAAAAAAAAAAAATCAGAAAATTAAGTGACTTGGGATAACAAAAGAAAACTACTTGGAGAAGTATTCTTTAATTTAAAAGAAAAGAAAATCATTTTTTTAGAAATATTAAAAAGGAGTGGGGTTTTTTTCAGTGCTCATCTATAAGGAGACAGGATAGTGGTATATCTTTTATCAGTTTAGTTAAAACAGTTCTCCTTGTGATCTCAGATTGATGTAGAACATGTAACTGCTAGAGCAAATTTATAAAATCAAAAAAGGAATTCTTTCTAAAATCTTACTTTGTAAATTAGTACCATAAACATCTAATGTTGCTAAAGTCATATTATTTATAAAATTACATAAAGTGTTATAACTGGAGCAGTGGTAGCAGGGAGATCTGGTACAACAACCATTTATACCAGCTCAGGATTTGTTCTATAAAATCACAAGCTCTGTGATCTCAGAGGTCAAATTACCTTCAGCATCGGCATAGAGCTGTCAGAAAAAGCTAATCATGCTTCATTACATTATATTAATGTATAACCAACGGAGAAGGAAAAAAAGAAACCCACAGAGCTTATTTACAAAAAGAATCTTTTGCACCTGCAGAGAGGGAAAATAGAACACTCCTACCTGCAGCTTTTTGCTGAATGGTATTTTAATTGCATCCAGTGAGAATCTGGGTTTCTCTCAGAGTTACTGTGAATTCACTGCTTTCTAGATGATGATTGTACATTAGTGAGAGGGTAAAACAGAGCCTTCAGGCATAAATATATAACTTCTGAAGAGTATCCCTAGGAATTTTAAGTATGGTCACAAATTGCTGCACTTTTGAAACATAAATACGATAATGTGCTTTGCTGACCTGAGGTTGACATCTCTTGCCAGTGGCCTAAGACTATTTTAAACAATATGAAGTTATCAAATCAAGTTAAGAAGCTGCAGCATTGAATGTATGCTAACTGCATCCCTGCACTCAGGGGTTATCAGCTGCATTGTTAAGAATTGTGAAGGTGGTAAATTAATAAACACTGAAAGATTAAAAAGTGCAGGAGTCCTTTCAAGAGGGCTACATGAAAAGCCTTAAATAGACAATGTATTGCCACAACAAATATACTGCCAGGTTAATACCACAAACATTAGAAATTATTAGAAAAGGGTTATTTTGTCATTCCCCAAACAGTAAATAATACATGTATTCTTCCAGCTGAAAGAAAAAAACATAGGAGAGCTGCAGTTCATTTCTTCTTGATTCACAGTTGCAAATAATAAAAGTTCACAGAAATAACTTTCTCTTTCAGAACACAGTAGAAACATTCAGTTGCTAGAAGTACAAATCTCGTCTTCTGTCATGAATCTGAATACCTGAAAGGCACAGCAGCATCAAGACAGTCAAACAGCACAGTCCTTGCAATCTCTTAATATGTTATGCAAACAAAATTGCACCTTTGGGTCTGGTGCAAAAGAGCCCTTACTAGAATAACCAGAATGACTCATTCAAAGTATCCCCAAAACACTGCACAAAGAACCAACATGGGGTATGACCAATATCAAGAGACTAATAAAAATATGAAAACCTGAATGCTTTGGGAATAATTTCCTAGGACAACGCATCCAGCAGTATGGTGGGTTTGTTGGTGCAAACTGCAGCAGTGCTATCACATGAGTGCTTGCAGTACAAAGCAAGGGTCTTTATCTTTCTGGGATCTGCAACTTGGACAGCTGCTGCAAAACAGGCATTGTGAAATGGCAGCCTGATGGTAAAGGCACAAAAACTAAGGGTAGATGGGTCAAAAAAAAAAAATCCTGTATTTCATTTTAATATAATGTAGTATTTTTCTTCTTCTTTGTTAATGTAGTTATGGAGGTGGTGATTCTATCAGAGAAAAACAAGCTTTTCAAATATACAAGCAAACAAGCATGCATCCTTATACTACATGCATAAGCAAGGCTGCTACCTGATTTGCTCTAAACCTATTGGTTTCTTTACTCACCTGCAGTGGCATGGCTTACACTGGGATTTTCTGAGCCTTGGTAAGAGCTTGCTTTCCTCTCTTAAAAGAAAAAGTTAAAAATACTGAGGATGAGCAGAGATTCAACACAGCTAAAAGTAGACAGTAGTTACTAAAGAAACCTTGTGCTTTTGCAGCCCAGCCTATAGCACAGGTGCTGAGGAGCTCTGTGCTGTCTGGCACAGCAACATACACTTCCATAAATATAAACATCAGCTGTTCTTAAACATGACATAGAGCCAGGAAACAAGGACTCCTACAGCCAAACTAAATGCACACATCCTAGGGATTTGCCCAAGTCTCCCTGTGAACATGAACCTGCCTTTCTTATCGATCCTTTTTGGGCTGTTTGATAATCACAAGGATGGTGTTACATGTGTGGTGTTTAGAGGCTACCAAATATTCAGAAAGGCCCTATATACATCCTGAAAGAAAAGACTTTCATTGGTAATGGCTGGGGAATACTGAGCTGTTTAATTTTCTTTTCAATTTTTTCCTCACTCATTTTCTTTCTGAATTTTTGGGGAAAAAGGTCCACTGTTGTTGGCAGTGCTTCCTGGTTATCAACACAAGACTAATTTTATGAAATAGCTCTTTTTCTGAAGGAGTCCGTTCCTGGGGCTCCCAAGCCTTGCTAGGTTCTCATTGCCCCCCTTGGGGGAAGAGGGTACCTTACCTTATTTTTAAATGAGATCCCAGTTCACACAGTGTCTTTAAAGTAAATAAACTCTCATTCACTACCTACACAAAAGCTAGGGTGAGTGCCTATGAAACACATACACAAAACGTCTGCTCATATACCATGACCAAAAAGTTTGCATTGCAGCTGAAGACATAGACACTCTCCCTTTAACATGGCAGTAATAAGTTAGCAAAACACCTACAGTCAGGGTCCTCAGAACAACATAGCTCTGTTGTAGCCTCAAGAGAGGAACTGTAGAAAAACTCCTGTTTGTATCTGCAGGCAGTCTTTAGCCCACATTCTGCCAAATTCCTGCTGATGCAGTTTCAAAACTGGGTAACCAGGAGGTATTTTACAGCTGCTTATTTTTCAAAACCAAAGCCTCAGGATTGCTTCTTCATGTGCCCGATCTTTTTTGTTTAGAAGCACCAGGTAGGATGCACTGTATTTTTCCAGTTGACCCCCTAAACAATTTCACAACCCTTTTTCTTGGAGGCCAGTGGCAAGCTGCCTGACTGGGGAATGCCCAGGAGCAGCAATGCAGATGTACTCCAACAGGCATCAGCAATTTGGTCAGGAAGCCTGACCCCAGAGAGCTTCTCAAAGGCAGAATTACTCACAAGACAACAATTTTATCCAGCAGATCTAGACACTGTGGGGACAGAAATGAACTTCAGGCGTCTTTCTGCTGTGTGCTGGCAGTACCTAGGACTGAGATTCCTAGTAATCGTGGATCATAAACAATCATCACTGTGTGAATTACGTTCGCTCTGGGAAATCTGCAGGGAGCAGACATAGATTTTGGCAGGCAGGGCAGAAGTCCCTCATGGCAGGGGTCTCTTAGCCAGGAGATGATGCAAGGCTGGTCCACCAGCCCCTTACCCTCATCATTCCAGCTACAGACAGAGACTGGGAGGGAGAAAAACCTCTGTTAATGACAGTAAGGGCTGTAGTTTCCCATCCAACATAATTAAGAGCCTGCATAGTAAGAGAGGCTGCTCAGGGATCTTTCCTGGCCACCCCTTGCTGGTTCCAATGAGGGAGCATCTGGTACACGCCACACCTAATACCCATGGATAATTAAGAGAAGTGTGATAGCACTATGAATAATGCTTATAACGCTTAAAATGTCCCCCAATGTAAGCCAGAAGGTGAAATATTATGTGAGCAGGCAATGCACTTTTTTTGGTTAACCCATACTATATGGCTACTTGATCCCAAGTACTACAGTACATATCAGGGTTATCTACTGTAAAAGATTTCTGGGAGTTTGCTGGAAGTTGGATCCAGCTTGAAAGGCTTAGGAACAGATGGTATTATTCTGTCACTATTATTCTGTCACTTCACATCAAATGTCATCAAAGAATGAAGAGATAGTATTTTCTTACCTTCCCCAGGAGTTGAACTTTGACTCATATTTTGTAACCTCGCAGGTCCAGTCATACAAGCAGAACTTGAGTGTTGCTTCATGGTGCATTCTTGCATGGATGTTAAGCACCTTTCCTGTTGTAGAAGGCCAAGAAGAGAACTGTATTTCCTGTCAGAGATCAGATCATCAGCTGCATGCAGGTCAGGGAGGGTGTGAGGATACACAGAACCAGTGACACTGGGAGTCCCAGTTGGAGGGAAGGGCCATAACTCTGCAGGTTGAGCTGGACGACTTCGCAGAGATGATGGCTGGCACTGGCCTACCACACTAGCAGCAGAAAAATTCAGAGCACAATTTGCCATGCTTGTTGAAGATGATGGATATGGTTTGTAGCAATGTGAAGAAAAATTCCACTGATGGGGAGACATGCTGTCTACTTTAAAAGAGAAGAAAAAAAGCATCTGAATTCTCATCAATTCTTAATTTTTTCCCCAAGGTAAATTCCAGCGGACTTCTAAGGGAATGCTACCAGAGTGCATATCCGTTTTTAAAGAACTATATAATCACTTTAGTGCTGCTTATCTTAAAAATCAACCACAAATTCATAGTGAAAGCAGTTTAAACCACTACCATCAATGTTGCTACTAAGTATTAACCCTACTAACCCTAAGTATTAAACGTGTACTACACAACCACCAACTTAGGGAGGTTTTTGACAGCTGAAATCTTAGACAAATTTATTTTTGTGAAGATGACAGCTTGAGTCATAATGCACTTATTGCATCCAGAGGTGATGGGGACACTTGGCTGGAAAATGATGACCTGGTCTTGCCAACAGGCTCATGGAAAAGCTTGGGAATCACTCCAGCAATCACAAGGATTTACCCAGGAAGTTCCAGCTACATAACCCAGGGTTTTACAAGTATATAAATATTTTTTTGCTTTTGGTTTGCACACAGTTCCAAATTTAAGATCAATGGATGTTAAATTCCTTAGTGAAAGCCAGTCACTCCCATCCAACACCAGGCTCACAAATGGAAAGGAACTCAACGTTTTTCAGGACAACCGTCTCACCCTTGTGCTTTTTGCTCAGATCTTGCGGGTTCTTGGCATTGCCGAGAGCTCTAGAAAAATGTTGATCTACCATGCTGTTAATGTCCCCTTGGAAATAGGTGAACACCACACTCTGAGATCCCCATTCTGTTTTCACAGGCTCTTTGCTTTTACTTGGCTTTGGGAAAAGCTTCCTTGTTTCCTCCATTTTCAGTGACCAACAGTTCCTGCATAAAAAACCAAAAATCCCAAAAAACACAAACCAAAAAACCAGACAGGTCAAAGAGACAATATTCAACTTCAAGTGCTTAGTGAGTGGTGGGCCCAGCTTCCTCCCAAAATTGGTAGGGGCCAGAAGAACACTTATTAGTAGAATTAGATTCTCTGTTATTCTGCTTTTTCCATGCACCTGTTCTTTACCCATTTCTTCATTAGATAATTCTAAAATTAAATACTTGGGCAGAATGGGCACATCTACCCATCAGCTTTCATTTCTCACCCCGACTTTGTAAGTCTGGACTTATGACCTAGTACTGTGCAAATGTACTCTCTGGAAGAACTGAAACACTTAAGAAATTAATTCAGAGGTGGCACTATCCCTGAGTGAAATTCAGGGTGAACTTCTCAAAATGCTTCATCCAATTTAGGTTTTCGTGTTGTTCAAAAAACCCATAATGACAGGGTGTAAAAAACCCCAAACCCCACTATACTACATTAGACCTGAAAAAAAATTTTAGACAAGGTCAAGTCTGAAGTACCTTAATCCCTCTGAACACAGATCTCCAAAACAGAAATACTTCTAAGAGTAATTAGTTGCTACACCTGTTAGAAAAAGACATTCAGATTAAATTATTGAAAATTCAAATCATGGCAAATTCAAGTAAAAAAAACCCAAAACAACAACAAAAGGAATTACCTTTTCTTGTTTGAAACAACTTACCTAGGAACATGGTGGGTCTGCCAGCTGCTTAAAATTTTGAAGCAAGACTGCTAAAACACACACTGTGAGTCAAACAGAATTTACAGGTTTAAGGCAGGAACGTCACTAAAAATGGTTTGCATGAAGTCAACAGAAGACTAACACTCCTTTTTGTTCTGTTTAAAAAGTTCTGCTGACAGATACAGTAAGAGTAGGACAAGGAATGTCACTGCTTCTCCCAGAGAAGCATCATTTTCATGCATTTGTAACAGTTTCTGGCCACAAGGGAATAAGTTCCCAGCCAAAGCTCACAAGTCCTGCTCTAATCAAAATCATATTTAGCATGGCTCAGGCTACAGATGCAGTGAAATGCTTTCCATTTCTGTTCAATTTTCCAGTCTCATTGTCAGCCCATGACACTACATAGTATAATTGATTTACCTTGACAGCAAAAGGAAGGCAGTTATTTCTCAGAGATCAGGGCAACATTTGGCCAACAGCCAGTTGTACTGTACAAAACCTCATGAATCATTAGATATGTGTTTCCATCCAACTAACTCTGCAATACACAGAACTGCTTAACCTACCTAGTTCAACACATTTATCTGATTTCTCACCTAGTCATACATTCCCCAATCCTCAGAAGCTTCCTAATAAACATTGCACTCATCTGTGTCTCAAAGGATACTCTGAAGTGCCTGTGAAAACTACCTTCAAATGGTTTCTCAGAATTTTCTTACGCATGAAAAAAACGGCTCAGGCTGCAAGACAAGTATCCAGATATTAAGAAATATGAGGATTAAGGTTGTCAAACCACAATCTGTCCCCATTCTAATGCTTAAGCCTTCAACTACAAACTTCTTGTCCATGTTTATTATCTGCTTCCATGTTTAGTTTTGCTTGTTACTTCCATCTCCCACCATCATGTGGTCTCTTCGATTCTCCCTGACTCATGGTCACTTGCTCAGCCAGCCCTAATCTCCTGTCACCAACTGCCAACTCATGTCCAAACTCAAGGGCTCCTTAGTCCTTATTTTAGAATTTCTATTGCTTTACCCCATCCTCCTAGATTCACCTAAACACAGCAGTGGGAACAGGACTGCAAGGTCACACTATCTGATTCAGAATGCAATCTTTCACAAATTCAAAACTGACCCAGCTTTCCCAAACATGGAAAACTTAAAGAAACATTTCCTCCCAATTTACAGGTACCTTCCCAAGGCCCACGAGGGGAAGCAGGAACTAGCACAACCCAGCCACACAACTGGAAGGACTTCAAGCACAGGAAGAGACACTGTTTTTTCCCAGTCTTGTTTTAGAAATCCTTCCGCTATTTGGGTTAAGGAACTTTACAATTGCTCAGCCAGGGGGCCAACACTTGCCATTGAAAATTCCTACCAGAGGAGTGAATCTTGGCAAAGACATGGGCAACCAGATGGTCTGAGGTTGGACAAGAAGTCATCTCAACAGCAAGAAGCAAAGCAGCTTTTCTTACTCTGCTCCAGCACTACACATGAACATACAATTTAGAAAGCATTAGTGCTGGCCCAGAGGATCACTTTTCCTGTTCTTCACTCAGTTACAAGCTATTATGTCTTTGTACCACCTTATTAACATGCTTAACTAGATCCGGACATTAATTCTCAGCTCCTTTAGCACTGTTTGTGTGCAGTAGCTTGTGTGATTGTGACCAGTTAAATTGCTGGAAAAATAATATATTTTCAAGAAATGAAGATCATCTATCTCTTTTTCCACTGATTCCCTTAAAAATTTCTTGCACTTTCCAACAAGTAGCCAAAGGACCCTAGGTTACATCTCAGTCCTCTAAGTGATCATACAGGCATAAGGATTCTAACGTCCCAGGAGACAGGACCTAAATTTGGAACACTGTAGTCTTCATTACCTGAACTTCCTATTATTCCAACATCCAGCAGAAAGCCTGCAAAAGGCAGAAATCCTTCCAACTTGTGTCTGCCACAAACCATTGTCAAAATAGAGTAGAAGTGGAGCTCAGGATGAAATGGACTCAGCTCATATCACATTCCTCTTAGAATGGGTTAATAATGGCAAAATAGTGCAAGTATTTGTCCAAGTTATTTCTCCTTCAGGTGGACAAGGACCCGTGGTCAACACAGGCTGACTGGTGGCTGTTGACAGCTCACCACAAGAGCTAATACCTTACAAAATTTTTCACATTCCCCACCCTTGCCAGCAGTATTGATTTCCCACCACTGGAGCATCCAACAGGGAACTCTTCATTCTTGATTTCATGTAGCTCAAACCAGTTTTAAAAACACCAACAAAAAAATCCCACTACCCAAGTATTAAGCCACAATTTAACAAGCAGGCATTCTCTCTCATAAAGTTATTTCTCAAATAAGGGAACATTTGAGGAAGTCAGAGAATTATCCTACCTTAACTCACTGTCACACCAGTCAGATTTTCCAGATGTGGGACACTCATGTTGTGTCCAGCAGGTTGGGATCCTCACTGGGCCTGGGCAGCTCTGAATGCACTGCAGCAACTGCAGCAGAAGACAAGCCTTGCTCATGAACTCCCCACACTTTCTAGCCTCCAGCTGCGCTGAATGAGGCGTTTCCTTCAGCCTATCTGCTAAGAATGCATGAAATGCACTCCAACAAGTCAACCAGGTTAGGAGGTTTCAGGAATGAGGAAAATAGGATTGTAAGTAGGTTTAGGTTTGTTTGGGTTTTTTTTTTTTTTTTACTGACAATGTGCACACAATAAAGAAGACACTGTGGACTTTGGAAAAGTTTGGACTAAGATGATAAACAAGTTATGGCAGAGAACCGAACTTGCCCAGGATAAGGGACTTTTCCTGTGCCATATTATTGAATATTGACTCTTAAGTTGATAACTACAATGACCTATGAGAAAAAGATGACCTGTTTCCAACCCAGAAAAACTGGATCATCCATTTTCTCATTTTTCTTTGCTGGATCTGTTTTAATAACTACAGAAAAAAAAAAGTTTATTTTTCCTGCTACAGCCCTTACAGAACGAGTTTGGGGGTTTTTGTAACGAATTTACCAAAATTAGCAAATTGCAGCCATTCCAGAAATGCTGAAACAGGGTCAAACTTGCCAGTCTCAGCTGGAAAAAACACACTGGGAAGCTGGTCACCAAGCAGGTGACATTATGTCTTTTATAGAGTATTTTAGGAGTTTGTTTACTCACCCGGAAAGCTGGAGAGCACAATCCAATTCCCTCTGCCTAAATACATTTGAATCCGCCCTCTGCCCTTCCCAGAACAACTTAACTACCTGGCTGGGAGAGTTCCCGTGACGGCGCTCAGTCCTTTATTGACACACAGTTTGCATAAACACCTTTTCATTGTGACAGACTGGATTCCAGTCCACCAGCAGGGCAAGAGCCCTCAACATCTCCATCGCTCTGACTCCTTTTTCTAAACTATCTCATATGGCAGAGATTTCCTCTGCTAAAGCTTTTCAAGACCTTATTTGAGATTTTCCTCTCATGCTGACAGTTAAAGCTCTCCTAAGATGTCATCAGTTTAAAGCTCCTACAAAGAACTACAAGGTAAAGTGGGATTATAATCCCTATTCTTCAGTACAGGAATTGAATGACTGATTTCCAGTGCTTTTGAAGCAGTCAAAGCACCAAAGCGTTGAAGAAAAAAGAATTTAAAAAAACCTTGGAGAATAAAAATTAAAATTCTACTTGTCCTTATTAAAAACATCTTCCCAATCTCAATTTTAACTATGGTGTCTGCAGTGATCCCTCCTGCTCCTTTTCTCTCCATGCTGGTCCATTGACACCCCAAGCCAGAAAGAAGGCTGAGACCTAACCCATAAACAGGGAACAAACACCATATCCCACTTAGAGTTCCAGCAACTTGGGTACAACTGGAAGCTCTGGCACCTTAACACATGTGGCTTATAAACTGTAGCCCCTATGTACCAAATGCTACGGTATCCTTTACTGAGGAAAAAAAGACAAATATGTTACCTTAAAACTAATCAGCAAAGACTTGTACTGTTCATGAGTTTGTTTATTAAAAAGGTAGTATAAAACACAACCCCTTTAAGAAACAAATTAAAGACAAACAAAGGGTATTCTCAGATGCTGCCACAAGTCTAGACATTAATCAAATACCATTTGCTTTGCAATGTTGTTTTACTAAAGGATAACTGAAAATGATTAATTTATTGAAACAAAATCACCTGTCAGAAAAAATTCCAAGTCTACTTACTGAAAAGTTTAATCTAACAATATACTTTCATATTACAGAATGAGCAAAAAACCAGTTTGCTGCAAAAGGTTTCATAATTCTATAAATATTTTACAGAACTTCCAGAGTATCCTGACAGTAAGACATCAAGCTATAATGAGCACTACAATATACACAAGTCAAATCAACACAAATACACAAGTCCCAGGATTAATTTACCATACTGCAGTATGGTTCCTGAAATGCAAAAATAGAAAAAAAAAAGAATTTAAAATCCAAATAAAATCTATAAGAATGTTTTTTTTCCCAAATTTGGTTTGGTTCGGGTTCAAGAATTCAGGGTATGAATATTCATGAAAGGCAAGTTTGGGTTTCTATGAAGCATCCAACACCTTCAAGTTTTCTTAAGTGAATTAAGCTAATTATTTGTAATTGTCAATAGATTAACCTCAACTGAATAATGTCTAGGACATGTTTTAGCTAAAATGCACTGCACTTAACATACTAAAAATTTTAAGTGAATTGCAATCCTTACACAAAACCCAAGATGTACGAGGGACTGAAATTCAATTTTAAAAAAACCTTAAAAAGCCAGCAGGAGAAACAGATAAACATTTTGATGCAAAATGAAACGAATTCTCTCTTTACATCTGTACATGAACATTCAAGAACCAGCGAAGAAAGAGAAAACCTTCTAAAAAGCCTTTTGAGTCTTTTTGTTTCCAAGTGTCTATCCTGGCCATGCTCCTCCAGCTACATCATCTCTGGTGAATCCCTGCAACTCCATAAAAATTCCTTCCCACCAAACCACTGAACAGCATTTGATTCTAAACCAAACTACCGATTTATCCTGAAGCTAAGCAATTATTTTGGATGGTTCAGAAAGTGATTCTGCCAAATTATGCTGAAGGATCAATTCATACTCTGTCATATTGTATTTAATTTGGTTTACATCCACTTTGCTCCACTGAATATTGGTAGAAACAACTATTTCTCTAGTTCAAAACTGAGCACAAATAATTATCCACAAATTGTTTCAGCATGCTGCTTGTTATTAATTTCATCATATACAGAGGAAAGGAGACAGACTCTCTTAAAATAAACCTCTCACCAAAAGCAGAGGTATGAAGGAACATGTAGTATACTGGAACTCTTGAATGGAACCTAAAGAAAACCTTAGAAACTGAGCAAAAAAGTTTTTGTCACCTCTAATAAGCAAGAAAAGTAATTAGAAAACACTTTTAATTAAAGAAAAAAATATAGTGAAAATTCCTTTAGGGTTTTAATTTCTTACCAATTTATGTATGATGCTGATCAGCAAGAAAAGTATGTAAGTTTAAAAAGCAACTCAGCTTCTTCAGATTTGTTAAAATTTCTTATTAAACACTACTGCTCTATACTACAAGAATTTCATAATCATACTTCAAAATACCAATTTTAACTTCTGCAATTTTTTTTTATTTCTGTTCAGACTGATTTATAAAAATTTAATTAATTCAAGATAATTTCATAAATAATTTCAAAAAGGAAAACATCTAAAGAATTTGGTTTTAATGAAAATCTGCTGAAAAGAGTCACAGCTGCATTAACTTTTCCTTGGACTACTAAATGCCTCAATAACTCAATGAATAGTTTATAAAAATATATTTTTACATTTTACTGGGGAAAATGGAGGTAGACAAAAGGAAAATACATGTTGGAGTATAATGTCACACTTGAGAACATATTTGCATGGAAAAAGAGCTTTTACTTCTTAAGAATCTTAGTTAATAGGAAAGCCAGTAAAGCATTTGGTCTCAGTCTTTGTTGTAGTGCACTACTTCAGTGTGAAGTCTAAAGGAGAAGGTGAAAGGACTAAGAGCACATTGAATTTCTGCAGCAAGCCAGTCAAATTTGCACATCAATTGGAGAGAGGAAGGTTCACTGCACACACAATTCCTTATTTTTCAAAGTCTTATTTCAAACAGTAATACTAACCTTGTTTTCCATATCCAATACCATGATTAGGCTTCATAGAACTTTACAAGTTTTTTATATACTTCCACAAGTTTCCCTACATCAGCTGTAATTCCACTGTAAAACAAGTGACTTAACTATGTATTGTTAAACAACTGGGCTCCCTTAAAAAAAAGTAAACAAAACACAAGAGTGAGAGATCTAAAGCCTGGAGTCTAGAAGCTGGAAGAAAAAAAGGAGAACTGAAGGCAATACTCACCACACTAAACTACACTCCTCACATGCAAACACTTCCAGCTCTCAAAAGTCTGTGGTGCTTCTTACCAATAAAAATAACGGAGGCAGAACCAACACAACCCAGAAATGTATCTGAATATACCACTACATGCAGCTACTAACCAGGCAGTGTTCCAGATACCCTGAATTCTTCAAACACCTGCTTTGCTGAAACACACAATCCACACACTTGGAAAGATGAGAAAATGGACTTTTTTTCAGCTGGTAAGAGCTACATCTCTTCTTTATAATGCAACTCAAAATGCGTCATATCAGCGTATTATGAGCCCTCAGACTTTTAACCCCTGAATCCAAATATGAGAGCTATTTTTGTCACGAGAGATGACACATTGTGACAAATTTATATATAATACAAAATTTATATAACTTATAACCACAATGTCCAGTGATAACTTAGATGCTCTTTTTGGCATAGCCACCCACACATATTGACTATATATTAAAAAAACTCCAATAAAATAAACTTAGACAACTATATAGAATTCAGGAAAAAAATCTGTATGGTAAACTCAAAGCACAAGATTTAAAATAACATTTTCAGAGTATTCTGAGTACCTCAGGAAGGAAACACAGGAATCAGCATCTATAGTTTCTTGCAACCCAAGATGAATTAAAGAAATTCAAAGGATCCTCCTTGCAAACGTGTACTGGTGTTCATCCATATGAACAGCACGCTACGAATTTTTAGTTGTTTAGTGCCGAAATCCATGTTCTTCTATCCTTACTTATCAAAGCAGTGGAATTCTAAATTAAGAATGACTATGCCCAAAACAGCTCCCCCCAGCTATTTTTGAAAACCTGCCATTAATAAGTTAGAATATCTTCTAGGTCCTCCCATTTGGAAATATTTTGAAGAGGACTAGCATTTGATTTTTCCATGTAAAAGCGTTATTTGAAAGCATTTTAAAGTATTCTAACTTTTGCACAACAAACTGCAGTTTGAGCTGCCAAAAGCATTTAAATTTTATGAAATATGGAAGATCCTCCCCTGTGAAGAGGACACAGAGAGCTAAACTAAAACATCGAGGAAAACTCACATTCATCATGTCAACAAAGTTAATGAATGACCCTTACTCTAATATTAAAGCAAGAACTAATTAAGCCACCACAGAAATCAAAAGCCTATTTTGATACCTACTGCATATAGACCAGAGTGTAAAACCAATGTAATTACGGCCTAGAATATGTGTGTTCATGCATTTCTAGTCTCCTTGATGTAATTCCAGCCTCTATCCAACATCAACAGAAGAAAGGGTCTAAACAGGGGAAGGAAAAATTAATTTGTTGAATGCTGTGATTTAATAACCTCTCTTCACTCAGTCTGCCTTAGGGTTGCTATGGCAACACTGTATGCCACTTTCTTTAAGCCTGTGACCTGATACTAGTCTTCATCTGCCACCTAATACATAGCAACACATCCAATACATTCATCCTATATGGATCAGAGCACCTGTTCCATAAAATGATCCAATATACCAAGACACAAATTATTGAAATACCAAGTTCCAGGGGCTCAGGAAAATTAACAGTACAATCCACAAATCTTGAAAAAGCTTTGCATTACGTAAGTTACATATAGTTACATAAACTTGAGGGTTGGAACATATTTCACACTCACACGATGAAACACTGACAAGCGTAGTTAGAACAAAAGAAGCCTGATGAGTTGTACTGCGTTCTAGGCAACTTGAGTTACTTAACCTCAACAGCCAATTAATACAAACTTTTAGAACCTCATTAAATACTGCTTTTAATGAAAACTTCAAAGCACACAGTTGATGACATTCTAATATACCTATATTCGTCTGAATATTGTCTGCAGTCATCCTGAAGGGATACACTCAAACATCACCCTAAAAATCATGCTTTTATAAAGCATTAAAGATGTTATATATCAGCTTCATCATCACTGCCTGCAAGGCTGCTGTCTGTGGATGGAGCTCCATCTTCATTAATATCCTCACCATTATTCTCCCTCTTATGAGCTTCATCATTTGCATCCTCCTTAGGTGTGTCATTAACCTCTGGAGGTTTCCCTTTAGGCAGTTTAAAACTACTTGATGCAGAATCCAAATCAGATGTAGTTAGCTGCTCCTTGGCATCAGGATCCCCTAAAAATGACTCCCACACCTTGAGCCTTTCTTCCCTTTCTCTTGCAGTCTCCTCCACCTGTTAAAGAAGTTTATACGCATCATTACAGAGTCATACTTGTCAAAATGAGCATTTACACAGATAAAATTAAACAAATATTTATGTTACAGAAATATCTCAATGCTGACTGTGAACTAAAGATCTGTACATCCAGTGGCTAATCCTCTAGCCTGACACTTTCAGTACTCAAACAGGTCCTCTAATTTTTTGCTAAATTGAATAATGGAGAATGATTTTTGGAGACACTGTACAGCTTTTGAAGAGAAGCAAGATAATGAAGGCATGGGCAGGGGAAGGGTATGGGGACAGGAATGCCAAGCACTCCTAGAATTCAAGCAGATTTACTGTTTGGAAGATATATATGGTAAAACAGAACCATGAAAGGTTACCTGATAATCTGTTACACCATCCCATGTTTCAGCACTGAGCTGACGGCCACCAAACCACCTTCCATTTAGAGTCAGCTTGCACAGATCAGCTTCTGTTGCTTCTTTAAATGACACAGAAGCGACGCCATCAGGGTGTCTCTGCAAGGACAGGCAAGTTGCATTTAATAATATTCTAAATGATGCATTCATTCCAATACCCTTTATATTGTCTCATAAAATCAATCAGGATATAGCTCCATTCTGATCATACATAATCATGTTTGAAAAGTTCAGTTTTCAATTTTCCATACGTTGTTTTATTGGCACACAGAATACAACTTTTGAACACAGAAAACAAAAAATACTTAGCTAGCTTAGCTACAAATACTGTACCCACACACTTTTAAACTTGTAACATGTATCCAAGCTCCTGGGAAGATTAGTTTGCCTTTCGGTAGGCTGAAGTAGACAGGTGCTTAGACAGTAAGTTCCAAAAGCTTTAAAGTACCAAAAGATTAAGTCAAGTTTCCATGAAGTAAACACACCCAAATGAATGCTCCACTCATTTAAAGCAGCCTAAATGTTTTGCATCTTTGCACATTACATCAATTCTGCCAACACAACATATAAAAATACCTACATCAAATATGAGAACCTTCTTTACTTGACCAAACTTTTCACACTCTGTCCGAAGATCTTCTCTTATCTCATTTAGCACTAAAGGGTCCTCCTACAAAGCAATTACACAGCTTTAATTAAACACAAGTGCTCATTTCTCTCAGCTTTATATTTGCTCCATCAATCGGTTTTAAGTCTATAAATTAAGTGCTGTCATGCTGCATTTTCAAAGCCACCTGGGAGCTGGCAGAGAGCTCTTATTTTAATAAATACTACTTGTTAGTGAAGCTATTTTGTGCTCATTTCTCCACCAACCATTACTGTTGCCTACTCCTCTTTCCATCCCAGAAAGGAATTTTGTCAGACATACAGGTTTTCCAGACAGTGAAAAACCCTGACTTGAAAAATACATTCTTACCAATACTTTTATTCTTGCTTTTGGAGAGAGATGAATTAATTTAAAGCAGATGTTTTGGCACAGGAAAACGCCCTTCCCAAACAGCGAGTTTAATTTTGTTTTCATCTGCTTAGATTTTTACTACAATTTGTATGGCAGGAAGTTCAGACATGTTAACTTGTAACAGCACAATCTACAGAAGTAAACTGCATCGTCCTACCTCAAAGTCCTTGGGGTGAAACATATTCCTGATAATAACGATGCGTTCGTGCCGCATTCGAGTTGCCCCATCTTTCTTCTCTGGCCTCCAATCCAGCTGTCTAATGAAATGAAGCAACAGTAAGAAGATATTGTTGCGGCTCTCTTCAGTTTCTACAAGTATTTGTTGGAAAAAAAATAATTAATTTGGCATTTCTTGCACTATATTAACACGTATTTTGACACAAAGAGTCAAGTTATTCTTCTAAAAAACACAGTAATTACCCAGGTTTACTACTGCTGCAAAGCATTTGAGGTTTTAAGGTACTTAAAGGCTCAGAGAGGAAATACAAATAATTCTTCAAAGTATTTTTTTAAAACACTGAGAAAATATTTACGACATATTAATTCATTCCTAATATCAACTCAGATAAAGGAACCAGCTGTTTCCAAGTGCAATTAAAGCGTCAGCATTTCACCATTTTTTCCTAACTTGTTCTGTAAAAAAGAACCACTATTCCCCTAGGTAAAACATAACTGTTTTTATTTAAAAGAACATGCAAGAACACCTTGACTCTTACACAGGCATTAGTACAAGATGCATTTTGTTCCCCAGTGTAGAGCCACTAACATAAGCTAGTCATGTAACCGAGCACATCTGTTCTAGGACTTTGCCTTCTCACAGCAAATCTTACTTCTCGTAGAAATGCCTACTTCATATCCTACTACAAAAAAACCCACACATTTACTTACACTTTTAAATCTCAAGATCATACACTGAGGTGGGGAAATCTTAAGTTTCTTCTTGTATCTGCTACTTTAGCTGAAGAAAACTAGGATTTCCAATGAGAGTAGCTATACCAGTAAATTATGCTCTTAAACTCAAAAGGAACCCAGTCCTTCTATTCACACAAATTGCTGTCAAAAGAAATTTCATAATTTTCATACAGCTGCTGTCAGTGTATCTTTGGGGCAGATATACTTCTGGCCTTAATCAATAAGATATCAAGTAGCCTTTGCTCCCCTTAACGATGGGAAAACACTTCTGCGTTACTATTTACAATGCTTAGTGGAATGTTGCTTTCACTGAAATATCAAAAATATTCAAACTTTTTTCTTCTTTAATCTGCATCTTCTTAGATCCAAAACGCAGAAGAACAATTTTGAAGTGACAAAAGCAATGAAACAACTCAAAACCCAGTATATTTTATAGCAGAGAGAGATGTCTGGGGCCATCTACAGTGATATTTTAGTATTTGTTCCTGTGGCAGCCAGCATTTCTTGCCCTTTGCAACTACTGCAGCATAGCACTAAATATATGTGAGCAGCAAGAGCGTTATGACCTTCCAGCAGTAAGCCCAAAAATTGTGAAACAACTTGCACACTCTTATCCACTGAAGAGGAAGAGAGTTTTTGATTTCCCCAGCGTTGTAATATCTTCTTCTGCATCTGAAGGCACCATTGCTCCCTATGTATTGGTTTAGTGTGTGAATCACAAATAAGTTCATTATATCAACACTTAATCTAGGAGTTACTCCCCTTCAAACGTGCAATAGTTAAGCTGTTGCACTGTCAGACAAGACTTTAACTTCTGCAAAACTTAGAATTGCATTTGAAAGCAAGCATCACTTTGCTAACAGCACTTAGAATTCAAGCAGTATTTTACTGAAATAAAAAATACAAACTTCTGCTGTTGCGACAACTTCTTCTTGTAGTCTTTACATTTCTTCTTCTTTTTGCTTGCATCATACTCCCCCTTCAGTTGGAACTTTGCAACTTCCACGTGCAATTTATAGCCTCGGATTTCTGCTTCATCCAGAAGCCTCAAAGCAAGTTGAACTGATTCCCTCTATTTGAAGATAAAACACAGCACAAGCTTTAAAGCACATGGTGAAATCAAACTGTATTACAATAACATGTCATTAAGTATGCTGTACTAAGAATCAAGTCCCTGTCACTGAAAACCATAATGCCATCTTCTGACACATAGCTGGCACTGTTTTCTTGCTGAAAACCAAGTATTTCTTCACTCCTGTTGTAATTGATTAATACCTCCAAAAGCAGCTGCATATAACTCATTCAAATATGTCACAGACACTAAACTGCAATATCCAAGCAAACTGATGAACTTAAAAGCAAGAATAAGAACGTTTCAGGGGACTGATTTACTATAAAATTTGTATCACTTTTCCAAGAGGAGACTCTTAAGTAACTTTCAATATTTTTCTAGAAGTCCTCTAGAATGAAGAGAGTATTTATTCTTGGGCACTCAACAGCCTCAACTACTACAATTACAAAACCAGCAGAGACTACAAGCCATTTGATTTAGTAATGCCTGGTGCTTCTTGCAGAGCTAAAACCAGCTGCACTTGCAATCACCATCTTTCCAAATGATTCACAAGTGAAACAAATAAGGAAATAGTACTGCAGTCTAAACTTTTATAGCTTAATAAAGAATGAAAGCAGAGTTCTGAACTGCACCAGTTCTCAATTAAAAGCTGTAAATACAGGACTACAGTATGTTCCTTCCTGGTGATCTATCCGTATTCTTGGTTACATAGTGGCATATTTTCAAAGTCAAAGGTGAGGAGCCTCCAATTTCAGCTCAAAATCTCTGGCACCCAAGACAAGAGCATGTAGAAGCATGTTCAGCAGGTATTACAGCCATTTCCAGGCAGAGGGTGAGGATGCATAAGAGGAAACAAATAAGGTAAGTGGGCATTTCTGGAGTAAATCTTTAAAACAGATGCTGATATTCCAAATTATGCTTTAGATTTTCACAAATCTTCTGAATGTGATTCTGAAACAACGGCCATATGTGCCTTCAAAGGGATGGAAAACTGCATTTCAGTGCACCACTAACCTTCAGATAACAACAGAGGCCATCTCCTTTAAGATTTCCTTCCTTATCTTTGTACAGTTTGATCTTGTGTTCTTCTGTCTGAGGATCTCGCATGATGATACCACATTTTGACATGACTTGCACAAATTCATCTTTTGTAATGTCTGGAGGTAAACCTGCAAAATAAAATCATAAGAAAGGCTTAAATATGGGCTATTAAAAAAAAAAAATCTCATTAGAACAAATCTTCCCATAGTGTTTATCTAAACAAAAGATATCAAAATAAAGGACATTTTACATACAATGCAAGAAATCACTGCCCCTGGGCATTACCTTCTAAACATTACTTCATGCCAGTATTTTGAAAATCCTTGTACTTTGTAATAGGCGTAATGCACAAAAAGATCTCTGTGCTCCCTAATACACATACCTAGAGATTTATTGTTACACACATCATAACACTGCAGCGGACACAAAGGCCTCTGCAAATGTACCTCTCCTACCCAAGCTTCAAGTTCCACTGCATTCTGGGTATCAGAGACAAAAAAAAAACCTCATAAGAACACGACCTCTAATCAGACAACTGTCTTCTCCATTCACAAATTTAATAAAAAGAGTAACTGATAATGTATAAAGATTTTAAGATCTGAACACTGAATTGAGGATAAGAAAAAAAACAAAACAGATGAGAAAATTATGTGGATGTCTCATGCTAGTTTGGCCTGCATAAAGATTTTTGAAAATGCAAGTACATGCACTCCTGTGACTGCTCACAACCACCAAGTGTACCGAAGTATATGCATCTAGAGATAGTACCCCCATCATCCAAAAGAGGTGGGAAAACACCATAATAAGCGCACAGGTAATTTCATTTGAGCTTTCACATTACTTTCTCACTCTATTCTCAACATTTTTTTACTGTTTCCTCCTTCTTACCTAATAATTATGTATTAGAGCAAATGAAAACTATAGATAAAGTGATGTGTATAGTTGGTCCACTATCTCATCACAAACTTGTGATTATCCTATACCTTAAAAGCCTACAGAAATAGTTTTTCTTATAAAAGAATAAATTAGTGATTTGGCTGACATAGCTCACAGAATATCCCATTTAACAGAGAGAAGCATGGAATACGTTCATTCTACTTTTTTCCCCCACAACTACAATTTAAAGGTCACAAAGACATTATGCAGTCAGGAACATAACATTAATTAGCTTGCAAGTGACAGACTGAATAGATAATATTAGAGACATATATGAGTCTCTTTTACCATCTTTAGCTCAAAGTAGATAAATAAACATTATTACTTACCTGTCACATAAACATTTGTGTTTCTGTCTTCTTCAACATGAAACCACCCTAAACACAAGAGTTTAAATCAGTTATGTTAATATATTAAACATGGGAGCATACACGTTTACATTCCATCAGATTTATAAGAATTTTTGATTGCTCACAGGGAAGCTCTGAACATACCTTCATTTGCTTTTTTCCTCTTTGTATACAGATTTAGGAGGATATTTATGAAGCATTGCACAATTTTAGAACCATTTTGCAAATTACCAGCACAACCTTACCTTTGCTGTACCAGATTAAGAAAATCAGCTGCCAGTTTTCCCTCAGTACAATACAGGTCACAGCCTGCACAGAGGGAAGTGTTTTGTCACTTACCTGGCTCTAGCTTCCTTTTTTCCGATTTTTGTTTTGGATCTGTTTGTTTTTGTCCTGTCTCATTTGCTGATGGTTGCGTTCCTGGTGTCTTAGAACTTACTGGTTGCTTACTTTCAATGGCTGTACCAGAAGCAGATGAAGTATCTGTCTCATCTGCATGGAAGCCATAGTTGGCATGATAGGTCGCCAGGAAATCTTCTGTTATCTGAAGAGAAATTAGGAAAAATATTATAAATTTTCAAAGAACTATAAATTCAGGCGTGTATTTTAATGTTAGTTAGGTGACGATAAATTTCTAATCTGGCAACATAGAAAATTACAATATTTTCAAACTTTTAAAAATATCTTTGCAAAGCCATACACACAACAAGACCAATCAGTTCAGGCATTACCTGAACTAGATCAAGACACAAATTTCATACAGCATATGTAGTTTGTATGCAAACATTTCACAAGTTCTGCCATTTTGCACAGAACTTTCTGCTTTCCATGTGAATTGGATCTGCCTGAAGGACAGAAACCAAGTACTCCTGGCTGTGGTGAAGTGATAAAGTGACTTATCCACAGATGATGAATGACTGAAATTCGCAAGGATCTGCCTTTTCATGGAATCATTTCCAGAGATGACATATATTTGTGTTGACAGGCAGTAAATACTGTACTTAATCAGAGATTTATTTTAACACATTGCTTCCAAGGCAATAGTCTTTACTTTATACCCTACAAATAGATAAAGAATTAGCTTGCTCTTTTGCAGAGAGAGACTATATTTGGATAAAATATAAGATTGGCCAATGCCTATATTTTAGAGGTCAAAAGAAAAGAAAAAAACCCACAACTTAGACCTAGTACTTCCAGCCACTAGCAATCACATGCAGAGATACATCATAGCCACCTCTGTTAGCATCCCCGCATTATAAAGTATTTTCTAAAGTTGTACACTCTGAAATATTTTTTCTCAAAACTGAGTCTTAACCTTTCAAAATTTTATCTGACTCTGACCTTTGCTGTACTTGCTTCATCTGTATTCAAAAGGGAATGAAACTTAATGCCATTAAACTATTGTAAGACAGCAATTTTAAGTGTCAGCAATGAAAACGTAATCTCCTATCTTCCATAGTGATTTGAAGCTTGATGTTTCAACTCTAAAATTTCATTAGGACAGATCAGAAATGCAAAACTGACAGTAACAGGCTTGTCAGGAATAATGCAAGATGGAGTTACAGAGCCCCATAACTTTAAAGGTTAGCATAATATAGCTCTTAAGCTAAACAAGATTTGCCACATACCTCAATAAAAATGCAAATGGCTGCTCTTACAGGAATAACATAACACAGCATCATGACAAAGTACAACAACATTTAGTGAAAAAAAAAAAGACTCTTTCAGGTCTTACTCATACTAATCAGGTTCATTATCTTTGACATTAGCCATCTTAGCAAATCCTCAGTGTCACAGCTGATGAGTTCCACAGTATTAAGAAGCTTCTATACATGCTCCTGAACAGCATTATTAATTTTCATCAGAGAAACTACTGGTAAATTAGCAATTAAACCTGCAACAGGATTCTTTTTCAGCTTCTGGGGAACTGCATCCTGTGTAAGCCTCCATTTATTCTTAGCAAATCATCTACCACGGACTACCAAATTTTGCCACTCAGTAACAAAGATGTTTTCTGCATAAAACGCTATCATCCTACCATACAACCATTACCACTACTTCACTTAAAAATGGTCTTTTACAAGCACAGAGGAGCTTATACACGTGTATAGGCTTTTATTGGAACTTCTGTGATACCATGACGGCACAAGAAACAAGTAGTCATAGAACTACTTCCTGGGGACTTCAACCCAATTCTGGTGGAGAACATCACAGAGATCAGTCCTACCTACACAGTCATGCAGTTTGGGGTGATTAAGCTTATAGGAAAAGAAAGACATTACTACACGACATATGAGTGCGTAATTAACTGCTGGTCCGACTGAAATGGAAAAGAATAGATTAACCAAAACAAGAACAGATACCCTGTGCTTGCAGATGACAGCCAACAGCTGTATTTTCACAGCAAATGACACAAGCAGCAGAAGAATTCCACATGTTATTTGGTGGTATATCTGTGAAGCACTAAAAAAGTTGGTATTCCATTGAAATAAAAATAATTAAATGAAAAACGATGTTACAATTGCTTCTATTAAATATTTTATTGTCTCCACATTTTTTCTGGGGAATGTTGGCAGATAATATAATTCACTTTTTGCACTTCTTTGAAATGTGCTTTAGTGTAAATTCAGCAGACACTGTATTCCCAAAGCAGAGCCGCAGTGCAACCCTAGTCTGTAGATAACAATTACTTAGACGAGTCAGAATATTTTCATCTTTTGTCAAGAAAAGAAGATTAAAATTTCATTACTGCCCATGGAGAAAGAAGTACAGCTTCTGGTTACAACAGCCTCTTCAGTTTATCTGGATAAAAAATTCTGTTAGTAAACATCAGCCAGAAGAAGTAACCTGAAAAACTCCATGGCAGTCAGCTGGGTAAAGAATCTTTGTGCAGCATTATGGATCATGGATACATCAACAACTTCTATTATACATCATATTCACTAATGAACTTTTCTGCTCCTATTTAAGGTGTCCAACCTTTAATGTTATCTCCTCTCTAAGACAGAACAGATAAGAAAAGCACTCAGGAAAGACAAATGCAACTGACAAGAGATACTTTTCCAAACAGAGGCGAGAAGGAGGGGAATAAAGAGGAGCAAAACAGGAAGAACCCTTTGACAAAGTACTGTGATTACTGATATAGCAGCCCACAGGGAGCCAGGAATACTCATTTCTCCACTGCTCCACTTTGTGAGTCTGGATTTTTCACATTTTTACCACTCCATAAGCCATCTGCTCCACAGACACCTTCCTAGGTTACACACGTTCAAACGTGGCACTACAGGCTTCACTCTCACTCATTCTCTGAATTGCAATGAATTCTCAGTCACAAACTGGAATTGGCACATTACATCCATCAAGTCGATGCGATAAAATGTCTTACTATTAAATTAAATAATTGCCCTCATTCATTGCTATATGATAACAAAAGTACTATTTCACTCGCAGATCAGTAGATTGGCTCAACATAGTAAATTTATGTTCATTCTCCCCTTGAAGAGCCATGTTGTTATAGTATTTCATACTTAAACCATTAAGTAATTTTTTAAAAAAATTAGAAATGCTAACGTATTTCCATGCCTGGAATGCCACTATGACAAATACACTTATTTTTCAAGTACACTTCTAAGACACTAGGAGATGGAATAACATCTCTTATTAGATATAGTTTGCAGATAACAATAAAAGAGGCATAATAGTACTCTATTTTCATCTAGACCTCGTAACATACTAAATCATTTCTACACTGCCCACAAAGAGATCACCGCAGCTACTGTGACAGAGACCTAAACACATCCCAGGCACCTCCGATCAACATCTGCAAATATAACCGTGACTTCACCCTAGGCCCGAGGAACTCTGCAGATTCGCCGCCAAGGCGAATAGCCAACGCACAGCTCCTCACAACAGCGCAGCCGATCAAAGACGGAGACGACACCGTGGTTTTGTAAAAAGGCGTGTTTTGGTGCTGCTGAGACCTCGCAGCAGACACGATGCGGCTGAATGCGGACACCTCCTTACCGACGAGATCCGGCATCAACTGGTCCTTCTTCTCCCCCTTCCTCGGGGCTCCCCCGTACCCACCTTGGGAAACCAGGCCTTCTTCTCCAGGTCCCACTCGTACGCAGCCCCGTCCGCAGGGTCCACGTAGGTAAAGGGGTCAGACTCGCCCTCGCCTTCACCCTCGGCTGGTTTGGCCTCATACTGCTGCTGGAGCTGCAACTGTCGGTAGAACTCCTCGTTTCCGTCCTCGCCGCTCATCCTGCCCCGTTCACTGGGCCTTGGGCACCCGCGCTTCTGCTGCCGCCGCCGCCGCCGCCGCCGCCGCCGCCGCCGGGAGCGCCCTGCACCTTACACGGCCACCGCGACCTGCCCCGGCACGCACAACACCGGAAACACCCGACGGGCCGCCGTACCTTCCGCCCGCCCCGCCCCTTTCCTCCGAGCTGTAGCCAATGAGACGAGCGGTGGTGGGTCACGCGGGGAGAGGCGGAGCCAATGGGGAGCAGGGAGGGAGGGAGGGGAGCCTTCCCTGCTGGGGGCGGAGCGGGCATGTTTTCCCATTTGTGGGCGGACCCCGAGGTCAGTGGGTCCGCCATGGGACAGGGGCGGTCGCCACAGCGGCCCTACCCCTTTTTCTCTTTCCGTTCCCCCCCCCCCCTTTCTGTTCGCCCTCAGGCTGCAGCTCTGTTTCTCCACGGGTTGGGGCTCTGCATCAGAGCAGCTGCTCCTGGCGCACCAGACTGCTTTGAGCGAGAGGCTGTGCCTTGACGGGCTTTGCATGGGGACTACTGCAGCTTTAACTTAGATGATAAATAAAAGTTTGGGGCACAACAAGTCCTCCCTGCTGCATGCTTTTCCCTGTTGCTCCTACGACAGCACTGGACAGTGAAGCGGCTTGCTGCCAGTGGTGCTGTGTAGGGCTGGTTGCCGTTTGGCACTGGAAGTGTACTCATGTCCTACTAGAGGCAAAGATAGAACCAGAAATAGAAAAATGAGATTGAAAAGGCACTCTAAATGTCAAGAAATCACATTGCTTCTCTTTGACGTCTTGGCTGAGGGTGTCCAGCGGTTGTGTTCCTTTTGCATTAATGAAGTCTGCAATTAGTACTCTGTCTGTGGATACTTAGATATTTTAAATACAAATTTCGCTCAGTTAAAAGTCCTTCATCTAGTGCCATCTACTGGTTTTTACAGTGTAGCCCAGACAGAATTACATCAAACCGAATTTTAATTGCTAATGTATTTTAAAGTATTTCTATTTAGAGGATGAAGCAGCATACACTTCATGTTTTGAAGACCGAGAGCTATAAAACCCCGTGTATCAGTGTACATGTTAAAAATGAAAATTGAGCTGAACAGCCCCAGCAAAGCTGCAGTGGCTGGTTACCAGAAGCAAAACAATCTTTCCACTCAGAAATAAAAATTACTGAGGATATAAATATAGAGTTCTAGTAATCTTGTTGCACAAAGAACATACAGCCTAGTTAATGACACCTTTGATGCTTCAAGAATTTTCTCTTGGCAGGTCTATTACGGTAGTTGTCCAAAGACTGCTTTGTGATCCCTTATAAACTTACCACCCAAGGGACATTTGTCTTCACTTTCAAACAGTTAATGAATTTTGGAGTGGAGCATGAGAAGCTTGACATAAACTGTGCTTGCTTATAAAATTTGGAATTGGGAATATGTTTAGAAATGAGATAATGATAGCCTTAAACTTTGTAAGACAAACACAATGTAAGTCTTAAACTGCTTGTTTTATTTTTTCAGGGTTTTTAATACGTATTACCTGAATGATTGCGCTGAGGTCTGTATAGCTTTCCCTACTGTGCAGATCTGCCTGCAGCGAGGCACTGGGATAGTCCTGGGGAGCAGGAAATCGAAATGTATTCTGAATCCAATGGGAGAGAGAGAGTGCTTGTGTGTAGCAGGGTTCATGTTCAGTAAATCTGCTCTGCACACTTTGATGTAGTTACGAGGACAAACTGCCTCGAGTTCCCTCACACTCCACATAACAGAACGTGGGACAGCAGCTGCTGCGGTGCAGCCTCCTACGGTGCTATCTGTTCCTTCCTGTGCCGTAAAGACACAGCGAACAGCCCAGGGAGACAACTCAGCTGGAAACTCATCATTTTGTGGGATGGAGACAACTTTCCTCTCAATCTCACCCTTGCAATTACATAGATCACGGCTGCCCAAGCACTCCTGCTGCAAGCTTCATCTTCTGAGGAAGGTGCAAAGAGTTCAAGCGTTCCACAGCTCAGATCAGTCCCAGCTGTCAAGAAATGGTGTTTTAAATCCTGGCAAAATATCTCAAAGTAAAGATTAAAAGGAGGCATTAGCATGATGATTCTGTATCCGTGTCTGTGTGATACGAGCCAATTTTGGCCCATCAGAGTTGATCAATGTTCTAAAGATGCAACCTGAATTTTGCATCTAGGGGTACTACCTACTGAAAATACAGATATATTGGTTTTCCTGAAGTGTCTTGGTCCCTTTAATAGGGGAACCGGCAATCTGGTGGCTAATCCTTAATTAGGTAGACACTCTTTTCCTGAGCTGCTTTGTTACGTTAAATCAAGGCAGTAACTAATGACTAAGTATAGACAGGCTACACCTCTTTGAGGTTTTCAGGGGTCTGGATGTTACACAGATTACTGAGAGTGATGAGGAGTCTTCATGGTAGGAAAAATTACAGAACCAGTACAGATGTACTAAAAATTCAATATCCTGTCCCATGCATAGAAATTCCACCTCACAGTTCACCTTGCACTGAAGGGACCGTCTGTGGCAGAGCCAACAACGAAATACTGATTAAAGCCCATATTACATTTTTTAAGTAATGCTGATTGAAATATGTAAGTACTGTAGCTGTGTGTAGCTTTGGGTTATTCTTTAATTGTAATATTCTCAACAGGAACACAGGAGTGTCAACAGGCAGCCCATGTAAAATAAAACAAAACAATTTCTATGGGAGCAGGAATGGAAGCTTTAAGATGGCTGTAATTGTGTAACTAACTTTTATACTCCAGTCACTCACACTTTAGCAGTGCTTTGACATATGTTTCTTAATTTATGTGGATTTGGGGGGGGATTAACTGACTACTGATATTAAAACTGTTGCTAAAGTGAACATGAAATGTGTACATCTCATTCACGAAGCAAACTATAAAAAAATACATCCTAGAAATTGTATTTCTTTTCTCAGTATGATTCCATATGAACATGACCTTTGAGAGAGTCTGCCTTTCAGTACTTTGTGCTTTTTTTTCTACCTATTCTTATGCTATGGACATAAATAGTGAACCCCTAATTATTAATCCCTTTTATTTGCTAGATAACACTCAATATTTATGTAAATAGGTGGTATTCCCATATGCTCTTTTATAACACGTGTATTACTTAGGTATGAAAGAACTTGGTTTTGGAACACCAAGAAAAGACTGCAAAGGAAATAACCCTTTTCCCCTAAATCCAGTTATGGTAATGTGGGGACTTTTTATGGATAAAGATATTGTGGGGAGTAGATGGAATGAATAATACCAGATGGGTTAGATCAAAATATGTGTTGACCCATATATCACTCCAATACACCATGCCATGAAGATTTGAAGGTACAGAATTATCAAAGCATAAAGTACACAGAATAATTAAATTGTGGCTTGAAATATTGCCAGTCTTTAAACAGAACATGTGCAGAACACAGCAAAACCATCAGTTTTGTAATAGGGTATATTAGCAGTAGAAAGACAGTCCAGTTAGAGGAGCAGTTACACAAGCAAAAAGTAGCTGCATGCGAAGGAAGAAAAATTGTGAATTAGGAAACTGGGTTTTAAAGGCTACTGTGAGGTGTAGCAAAAGATTTTGCAGTGGGAAATTTGGTCTCTGACAGAGGCAAATTGTGAAGTCCAGAAGCATCTGTTTCCCAGAGGCAGTGCTAAGCTAGAATAAAGAATGCTGTAAGCAATGGTGTTGTTGGTGGATATTTCTTTTGTTTAGAATTCCTATAGTAAGATTCAGGAAGGTAAATGTTAGGTTCATAAGTGTATAGGCTTATCTATCTATTTCAGTCTCACCCTGCAACTCCATGAGGGAAACACAGAAGAAGAAAATAGCAGTGCAACGTGTTTCTTATATTTGTGCATAGCTCTCTACCAGGCAATGTGTTACATTGAGACAAAGAGAGTAAAATAAGGTCTCTGGAGTCTGCTGTGCCATAAATTGTATTTCTGTGCTATTGGATTTCCATTTATTTCAGTGATCCTGTCCTGGTATGCAATTGGTACAATAAAAGGAGGAATCCATGTGAGAATTAGTGCTTGTAGCCTTGCAGCTTGTAACATGAGGACTGTAGTAAAACAAGGCCAGGTGTCATGGGATTAAACTGGTCTGTCATTAACTGGTTCACAATGACAATAGAAGTTGTATTGCAATGCCCCTGGGATTTATAGTTTAGCTTTATATTTCTGATTAGAGCAGGCAACAGATACAGTCTGTAAATACATTTTTTCATCTTATAGTCAACTTAGTTAATGGTGCATGAGTGGATGGATTTTCAGCCATATGTTGTTAAGGGGCTCTGTGCAGTTGAAGCGGGGCTATACCTTCAAGGGTTAGCTAAAATTGAAGCTTCTGTGACTGACAGGATTATTTTAATTAATATGTTGTAACTTTTGTTCTATATTTTGATGCAGAATTTCTTTTTTGGAATAGAAGTATCTTAGTTTAAGCAATGGAGAATCTGTTGTGTTTCCTATCACCAGCTTCCACAGAACAAAATTTTGGTTCAGGGTACACAAAATTCAGAAAAATAAGTGTCACTCAAGTATTTTGTAACATGGAGTAGGAAGACTTGCCTCCTGTACTTCCTGATGGAAAGGCAGTCCCTGCCAGCAGTGCTGCTGAGCATGGACAGGCTGTCCTGATTTGCCCCTGCAAGCCCAGTCATAATATCAGTGAATTTGAGGTTAGAAGGCATATAGCATTAAGACAGCCTATCCTAATATTAAAAAGAGATACAACTTGAAGAATAAAAAACTAGTATAGTAGAAAAATCCAGCTCTCCCAGTGTGCTTGAATATGCGTAGACCACTTAGATACAACCATGTACACTACAGCAGGAGTGGATCTGTGCAGGTAAAGGGTCAGTCTGACTCTCCACACCGTCCATTTTTCACTTCAAACTCACCCTAGTCTGGTTCAGCGGATTGGATGCACAGTTCCATCTGACAGAAATCCAGATGGTGCACTCAAGACCACTTTGGGATATAAAGTAAGGCAGGAGGGGATGTTTGAACACTTC